GCTAGCGTAGCTTAACTAAAGCATAACACTGAAGATGTTAAGACGGACCCTAGAAAGGTCTCGCAAGCACAAAGGCTTGGTCCTGACTTTACTGTCAGCTTTGGCTAAACTTACACATGCAAGTCTCCGCCCCCCTGTGAGAATGCCCACAGTTTTCTGCCCGAAAACAAGGAGCTGGTATCAGGCACACTTTCCGCAGCCCATGACACCTTGCTTAGCCACACCCTCAAGGGAACTCAGCAGTGATAAACATTAAGCCATAAGTGAAAACTTGACTTAGTTAAAGCCAAGAGAGCCGGTAAAACTCGTGCCAGCCACCGCGGTTATACGAGAGGCTCAAGTTGATAGACATCGGCGTAAAGAGTGGTTAGGAAGTTTTTAAACTAAAGCCGAACGCCCTCAGAACTGTTATACGTACCCGAGAGCAAGAAGCCCCACTACGAAAGTGGCTTTATACCCCCGACCCCACGAAAGCTGCGAAACAAACTGGGATTAGATACCCCACTATGCCCAGCCCTAAACCTTGATAGTCCCCTACACCCACTATCCGCCCGGGTACTACGAGCACTAGCTTAAAACCCAAAGGACTTGGCGGTGCTTTAGATCCACCTAGAGGAGCCTGTTCTAGAACCGATAACCCCCGTTAAACCTCACCCCCTCTTGCTCTTTCCGTCTATATACCGCCGTCGTCAGCTTACCCTGTGAAGGGATCACAGTAAGCAAAACTAGCACAACTCAAAACGTCAGGTCGAGGTGTAGCATATGAGGGGGGAAGAAATGGGCTACATTCCCTGCCACAGAGAATACGAACAATGTAATGAAATATACATTAGAAGGAGGATTTAGCAGTAAGCAGAAAATAGAGCGTTCCGCTGAAATTGGCCCTGAAGCGCGCACACACCGCCCGTCACTCTCCCCCAGCCAACAACATCCTATAAATAATACATTCTACCGGTAAAGGGGAGGCAAGTCGTAACATGGTAAGTGTACCGGAAGGTGTACTTGGAAAAATCAGAGTGTAGCTAAACCAGAAAAGCATCTCCCTTACACTGAGAAGTCGCCCGTGCAAATCGAGCCACCCTGACGCCCAACAGCTAGCCCACCCACCAACCCCAAATCAACCCTATTTATAACCCCAAATATACCATTCTCTCAACAACAAACCATTTTCCCACCTAAGTACGGGCGACGAAAAAGGAGCTAGGAGCAACAGAGAAAGTACCGCAAGGGAAAGCTGAAAGAGTAATGAAACAACCCAGTAAAGCACTAAAAAGCAGAGACTACTCCTCGTACCTTTTGCATCATGATTTAGCCAGAAACCCTCAAGCAAAAAGCATTATAGTTTGATACCCCGAAACTAAGCGAGCTACTCCAAGGCAGTCTAATTTATAGGACCACCCCGTCTCTGTGGCAAAAGAGTGGGAAGAACTTCGAGTAGAGGTGACAGACCTACCGAGCCTAGTTATAGCTGGTTGCCTGAAAACTGAATAAAAGTTCAGCCCTTTAAATTCTCCACTCCCACTAGTCTAAAGCCTTCACACCGAGCAAAAGAAATTAAAGGAGTTAGTCAAAGGGGGTACAGCCCCTTTGAAACAAGATACAACTTTCCAAGGAGGGTAAGAATCACAACAAACTAAAAGGTCAAATATCCTAGTGGGCCTAAAAGCAGCCACCAACCCAGAAAGCGTTAAAGCTCGAACATTACCTAACCAACCTTCTAATAAAGACAATACAATTTCACCCCCCTAAACCTACCAGGCCGTTCCATAAAACTATGGAAGCGTCTATGCTAACATGAGTAATAAGAGAACCCACCTCTCCCCGCACAAGTGTAACTCGGAACGAACCATTCACCGACCATTAACGGCCCCAAAACAAAGAGGGCCCTAGGCAAAAAACAAACAACTAGAAAAACCCCTAGTTCCTCACCGTTAACCCCACACTGGTGTGCAAACCGGGAAAGACTAAAAGAAAAAGAAGGAACTCGGCAAACATAAGCCTCGCCTGTTTACCAAAAACATCGCCTCTTGACCCCTAAACATAAGAGGTCCCGCCTGCCCTGTGACTATAAGTTTAACGGCCGCGGTATTTTGACCGTGCAAAGGTAGCGCAATCACTTGTCTTTTAAATGAAGACCTGTATGAATGGCATAACGAGGGCTTAACTGTCTCCTTTTTCCAGTCAATGAAATTGATCTCCCCGTGCAGAAGCGGGGATATTAACATAAGACGAGAAGACCCTATGGAGCTTTAGACGCCAGAACAGACCATGTTAAACACCCCTTAAATAAAGGACAAAACTCATTGACCCCTGTCCTAATGTCTTTGGTTGGGGCGACCGCGGGGAAATAAAAAACCCCCATGTGGACCGAGAGTACATTACTCCCACAACCCAGAGTCACAACTCCAAGTAACAGAACTTCTGACCAACAAGATCCGGCACATAGCCGATCAACGGACCGAGTTACCCTAGGGATAACAGCGCAATCCTCTTCTAGAGCCCATATCGACAAGAGGGTTTACGACCTCGATGTTGGATCAGGACATCCTAATGGTGCAGCCGCTATTAAGGGTTCGTTTGTTCAACGATTAAAGTCCTACGTGATCTGAGTTCAGACCGGAGTAATCCAGGTCAGTTTCTATCTATGCCACGATCTTTTCTAGTACGAAAGGACCGAAAAGAAGGGGCCCCTGTTCTCAATATGCCTCCCCCTCATCTATTGAAACCAACTAAAATAGATAAAAGGGCGTACCCCCTAGCCCTAGAAAATGGCTTGTTAAAGTGGCAGAGTCCGGACATTGCAAAAGACCTAAGCCCTTTCCACGGAGGTTCAAGTCCTCCCTTTAACTATGCTCTCAACACTAATTTCATCCGTCCTCAACCCCTTAATTCTTATCGTATTTGTTCTTCTAGCCGTTGCACTCCTCACACTTATCGAACGAAAAGTCCTCGGCTATATACAATTACGAAAGGGCCCAAACATTGTAGGCCCCTACGGTCTCCTCCAACCAATTGCAGACGGACTTAAACTCTTTATGAAAGAACCCGTTCGACCCTCCACCTCCTCCCCCATCCTCTTTCTCTTTACCCCCGTACTAGCCCTTACCCTGGCCCTCACCCTTTGAACCCCAATGCCCCTTCCCTTCCCTATAGCAGACCTCAACCTTGGCATTCTCTTTATCCTTGCCATCTCCAGTCTAGCAGTTTATTCTATTCTAGGCTCAGGATGAGCCTCCAATTCAAAATATGCTTTAATCGGAGCCCTTCGAGCCGTAGCACAAACCATTTCCTATGAAGTTAGCCTAGGACTAATCCTTCTTAATGCTATTATTTTTACCGGGGGCTTCACCCTACAAACATTTAGCGTCGCCCAAGAAAGTGTCTGATTAATCCTTCCCGCCTGACCCTTAGCCGCTATATGATACATTTCCACACTTGCAGAAACAAACCGAGCCCCTTTTGACCTTACAGAAGGTGAATCCGAACTCGTCTCCGGCTTTAACGTAGAATACGCAGGAGGACCTTTCGCCCTCTTTTTCCTCGCTGAATACGCCAACATTCTCCTAATAAATACTCTCTCTGCAACCCTATTCCTAGGCGCCTCCATTCTTCATACCGCCCCTGAAATTACTACAACAAATCTTATAATCAAAACAACTCTCCTCTCCGTCCTCTTCCTATGAGTTCGTGCTTCCTATCCACGATTTCGTTACGACCAACTCATGCACCTAATCTGAAAAAACTTCCTACCACTAACCCTTGCCCTGGTAGTTTGGCACCTCTCCCTTCCAATTGCACTAACAGGCCTGCCCCCGCAACTATAGCCCGGAGTTGTGCCTGAACTTTAAAGGATCACTTTGATAGAGTGTATCATGAGGGTTAAAATCCCTCCAACTCCTTAGAAAGAAGGGATTTGAACCCTACCTGAAGAGATCAAAACTCTTAGTGCTTCCTCTACACCACTTCCTAGTAAAGTCAGCTAAATAAGCTTTTGGGCCCATACCCCAAACATGTCGGTTAAACTCCTTCCTTTACTAATGAATCCCTACATCTTAGCCATTCTTCTCTTTGGCTTAGGCCTTGGCACAACAATTACATTTGCTAGCTCCCACTGACTTCTCGCCTGAATAGGCCTTGAAATAAATACACTAGCCATTATTCCCCTAATAGCCCAACATCACCACCCACGCGCAGTCGAAGCTACAACCAAATATTTCTTAACTCAAGCTGCTGCTGCAGCTACCCTTCTATTTGCAAGTGTAACTAACGCCTGATTAACAGGCCAATGAGAAATTCAACAAATTACACATCCCCTCCCAAGTACTATAATTACTCTTGCTCTTGCTCTCAAGATTGGCTTAGCCCCTCTTCATGCTTGACTCCCCGAAGTCCTACAAGGCCTAGACCTCACCACAGGCTTAATTCTTTCAACCTGACAAAAGCTTGCCCCCTTCGCCCTAATTCTTCAACTTCAACCTTCAAACTCAACACTCCTTATCATCTTAGGCCTTACATCCGCACTTATTGGAGGCTGAGGCGGATTAAACCAAACACAACTCCGCAAAATTCTTGCATATTCATCAATCGCCCACTTAGGCTGAATAATTCTTGTCCTACAATTCTCCCCCTCCATCACCCTCCTCACCCTTCTAACCTATTTCATTATAACATTCTCAACATTTCTTGTGTTTAAACTCAACAAATCTACAAATATCAACACCCTTGCCATATCCTGAACAAAAGCCCCCGCCCTGACAGCTCTCACACCCCTCATCCTACTCTCCCTAGGGGGCCTCCCCCCTCTTACAGGTTTCATACCAAAATGACTAATCCTTCAAGAACTAACCAAACAAGGACTTGCTCCCACCGCAACCCTAGCGGCCCTTTCAGCCCTACTTAGCCTGTATTTTTACCTACGCCTCTCTTACGCAATAACCCTTACTATTTCCCCTAACAACCTTACAGGTTCAACCCCCTGACGCTTACCTTCCACCCAACTAACCTACCCCCTCGCCACTACAACTGCGATGACAATTGGCCTCCTACCTCTTACCCCTGCCATCTCCGCCTTATTAACCTTCTAAGGGGCTTAGGATAGCACCCAGACCAAGGGCCTTCAAAGCCCTAAGCGGGAGTGAAAATCTCCCAGCCCCTGCTAAGACTTGCAGGATACTAACCCACATCTTCTGTATGCAAAACAGACACTTTAATTAAGCTAAAGCCTTACTAGACAGGAAGGCCTCGATCCTACAAACTCTTAGTTAACAGCTAAGCGCTTAAACCAACAAGCATCTATCTAACCTTTCCCCCGCCCGCCTCCAAAAGGGCGGGGGAAAGCCCCGGCAGGGTCTAACCTACTACTTCGGATTTGCAATCCGACATGTATACACCTCGAGGCTTGATAAGAAGAGGATTTAAACCTCTGTGCGTGGGGCTACAAACCACCGCTTGACACTCAGCCATCTTACCTGTGGCAATCACACGTTGATTCTTCTCAACTAATCACAAAGACATCGGCACCCTCTATCTAGTATTTGGTGCTTGAGCCGGAATAGTAGGAACCGCGCTTAGCCTCCTAATTCGGGCAGAACTAAGCCAACCCGGCGCGCTCCTCGGAGATGACCAGATTTATAATGTAATTGTTACAGCACATGCTTTTGTAATAATTTTCTTTATAGTAATGCCAATTATGATTGGAGGCTTTGGAAACTGACTAGTACCTCTTATGATTGGTGCGCCCGACATAGCCTTCCCTCGAATAAACAATATAAGTTTTTGACTTCTTCCCCCTTCATTCCTGCTCCTCCTTGCCTCTTCCGGAGTCGAAGCAGGGGCTGGCACAGGATGAACTGTTTACCCTCCACTCTCAGGCAATCTCGCCCACGCGGGACCTTCTGTCGATTTAACCATCTTCTCTCTCCACTTGGCTGGGGTATCGTCTATTCTTGGCGCAATTAATTTTATTACAACAATTATTAACATAAAACCCCCTGCCATCTCTCAATACCAAACACCTCTGTTTGTGTGGTCCGTCCTAATTACCGCAGTATTGCTTTTATTATCCTTACCCGTGCTTGCTGCCGGCATCACAATACTTCTCACAGACCGAAACCTTAATACAACCTTCTTTGACCCTGCTGGAGGAGGAGACCCCATCCTTTATCAACACTTATTCTGATTCTTTGGTCACCCTGAAGTCTATATCCTTATCCTCCCCGGTTTTGGTATAATCTCCCACATTGTTGCGTACTACGCAGGTAAAAAAGAACCCTTCGGGTACATGGGGATGGTCTGAGCCATAATGGCCATTGGTCTCCTAGGGTTTATTGTCTGAGCTCACCACATGTTTACTGTAGGAATGGACGTAGATACACGAGCTTACTTTACTTCCGCCACAATAATTATTGCTATCCCAACCGGAGTAAAAGTCTTCAGCTGACTGGCCACTCTGCACGGCGGCTCAATTAAATGAGAAACTCCGCTCTTATGAGCACTCGGCTTCATTTTCCTCTTTACAGTTGGAGGACTAACCGGAATTGTTCTAGCCAACTCTTCTCTAGATATTATGCTTCACGACACATATTACGTCGTTGCCCACTTCCACTATGTCCTCTCTATAGGAGCCGTATTTGCCATCGTTGCCGGCTTCGTCCACTGATTCCCCTTATTCTCAGGATACACGCTCCACGACACCTGAACCAAAATCCATTTCGGAGTAATGTTTGTTGGTGTTAATATAACTTTCTTCCCACAACATTTCCTGGGGCTGGCAGGGATACCTCGCCGTTACTCCGACTATCCCGACGCCTACACTCTTTGAAACACAGTTTCTTCCATTGGCTCAATAATTTCCCTAATCGCAGTAGTTATATTTTTATTTATTATTTGAGAAGCATTCGCCGCTAAACGAGAAGTTTCATCAGTAGAACTCACAGCAACAAACGTAGAGTGACTTCACGGTTGCCCTCCTCCTTACCACACCTTCGAAGAACCTGCCTTCGTCCAAATTCAACAACCTTGATTAAACTACGAAAAACCTGCTTCCGCCCCCTCAAACCCCTAGTAACGAGAAAGGAAGGAATTGAACCCCCATAAACTGGTTTCAAGCCAGCCACATAACCACTCTGTCACTTTCTTCATAAGACACTAGTAAAATTGACTATTACATTGCCTTGTCAAGGCAAAATTGCGGGTTTAAGCCCCGCGTGTCTTACAACAATGGCACATCCCTCCCAATTAGGCTTCCAAGATGCAGCTTCACCTGTAATAGAAGAACTTCTTCACTTCCACGACCATGCCTTAATAATTGTTTTTTTAATTAGCACATTCGTGCTTTATATTATTGTGGCCATAGTAACAACCAAGCTAACTAATAAATTTATTCTAGACTCCCAAGAAATCGAAATCATTTGAACCCTACTCCCAGCTATTATTCTAGTTCTCATTGCCCTCCCCTCCCTACGCATTCTTTATCTTATAGATGAAATCAACGACCCACATCTTACAATTAAAGCAATAGGTCACCAATGATACTGAAGCTACGAGTATACTGACTATGAAGACCTGGCCTTTGACTCATATATAATTCCCACACAAGACTTAGCCCCAGGCCAATTTCGCCTTCTAGAAGCAGACCATCGAATAGTAGTCCCCGCTGAATCCCCCATCCGAGTCCTAATTTCTGCCGAAGATGTACTTCACTCCTGAGCCGTCCCAAGTCTAGGGGTAAAAATAGACGCCGTCCCAGGACGCTTAAACCAAACAGCATTTATTGCCTCCCGCCCCGGAATCTTTTATGGCCAATGCTCTGAAATTTGCGGCGCAAACCACAGCTTTATACCTATTGTGGTAGAAGCAGTCCCGCTAGAACACTTTGAAAACTGATCCTCCTTAATACTTGAAGACGCTTCGCTAAGAAGCTAAATAGGGAATAGCGTTAGCCTTTTAAGCTAAAGACTGGTGACCCCCGCCCACCCCTAGCGAAATGCCACAACTTAACCCCGCACCTTGATTTGCTATCCTAGTCTTCTCCTGATTAATTTTCCTAACAGTCATTCCCCCAAAAGTTCTAGCACACACTTTCCCAAACGACCCCACACTCCAAAGCACAGAAAAACCCAAAACAGAGCCCTGAAATTGACCGTGATACTAAGCTTTTTTGACCAGTTTATGAGCCCCACATATCTGGGAATTCCCCTCATTGCCCTTGCCCTCAGCTTACCCTGAATCCTCTACCCCAAACCTACTCCCCGTTGACTAAACAACCGCCTCATCACACTCCAAGGATGGTTTATTAACCGCTTCACCCAACAAATTTTTCAACCTCTAAATTTAAAAGGCCATAAATGAGCAGCTCTTTTCGCCTCCCTCATACTCTTCCTCATTACCTTAAACATACTTGGCCTCCTACCCTATACCTTCACCCCTACAACACAGCTCTCCCTCAACATGGCCTTCGCCGTCCCCCTCTGACTTGCAACAGTCATTATTGGTATGCGAAACCAGCCTACCCATGCCCTAGGCCACCTATTACCAGAAGGTACCCCTACCCTCTTAATCCCTATCCTAATTATTATCGAAACAATTAGCCTATTTATTCGCCCCCTCGCACTTGCCGTACGATTAACCGCAAACCTTACAGCCGGCCACCTTTTAATTCAACTCATTGCCACCGCCGCCTTTGTCCTCCTCCCCCTTATAACTACAGTAGCCATTCTGACCGCAGTGCTACTGTTTCTCCTGACCCTTCTAGAAATTGCAGTAGCCATAATTCAAGCCTATGTCTTTGTCCTTCTTTTAAGTCTCTACCTACAAGAAAACGTTTAATGGCCCATCAAGTACACGCATATCACATAGTTGACCCCAGCCCATGACCCCTAACAGGCGCAGTAGGCGCCCTTCTACTAACCTCCGGTTTAGCAATCTGAATGCACTTTCATAATATAACCTTATTAACCCTAGGTCTTATCCTTCTTCTTCTAACTATATACCAATGATGACGGGATATTGTCCGAGAAGGAACATTCCAAGGGCACCACACCCCTCCTGTCCAAAAAGGCCTCCGATACGGAATGATCCTTTTTATTACCTCAGAAGTATTCTTCTTCCTTGGCTTCTTCTGAGCCTTTTATCACTCCAGCCTCGCCCCAACTCCGGAACTAGGAGGCTGCTGACCCCCTACAGGGATTACCCCTTTAGACCCCTTCGAAGTCCCCCTGCTTAACACAGCCGTCCTTCTAGCCTCAGGAGTAACAGTCACCTGAGCACACCACAGTATCATAGAAGGACATCGAAAAGAAGCAATCCAATCCCTCACTTTGACCATTCTTCTAGGCTTCTACTTTACCTTCCTTCAAGCAATAGAATACTACGAAGCCCCCTTCACTATCGCAGACGGAGTCTATGGTTCCACCTTCTTCGTGGCAACCGGCTTCCACGGACTCCACGTAATCATTGGTTCTACCTTCCTAGCCATCTGCCTTCTACGACAAGTTCTATATCATTTTACCTCCGAACACCACTTTGGTTTTGAAGCAGCTGCCTGATACTGACACTTTGTAGACGTTGTCTGACTATTCCTCTATATCTCAATTTACTGATGAGGCTCATGTCTTTCTAGTATAAATGCTAGTTCCTGTGACTTCCAATCACCCGGTCTTGGTTAAAATCCAAGGAAAGATAATCAATTTAATCACAACAATACTCATTATTTCTATTACCCTTTCCGCTATCCTCGCTATTATTTCTTTTTGACTTCCTCAAATAACACCTGACCATGAAAAACTTTCCCCCTATGAATGTGGCTTTGATCCCCTGGGATCCGCCCGTCTACCCTTCTCCCTTCGCTTCTTCCTTGTTGCAATCCTTTTCCTCCTATTCGATTTAGAAATTGCACTGCTTCTTCCCCTTCCCTGGGGGGATCAACTTTCTTCCCCTCTCATAACATTCACCTGAGCCTTCGCTGTTCTTGTATTATTAACCCTCGGCCTAGTTTATGAATGAATTCAAGGCGGCCTAGAATGAGCTGAATAGGCTGTTAGTTTAAGAAAAACCCTTGATTTCGGCTCAAGAACTTATGGTTAAAGTCCATAACCGTCTAATGACCCCTACACATTTCGCCTTCTCCTCCACCTTTCTTCTAGGCCTAGCAGGCCTGGCATTCCACCGAACTCACCTTCTCTCCGCTCTTTTATGTTTAGAAGGTATAATACTCTCACTTTTTATCGCCCTCTCCATATGAACCCTTCAACTTAACTCCGCCAACTTCTCAGCCTCCCCCATACTCCTCTTGGCTTTCTCAGCCTGTGAAGCAAGCGCCGGCCTCGCACTACTTGTTGCCACTGCCCGCACCCATGGAACAGACCGACTCCAAAACCTAAATCTTCTACAATGCTAAAAATTCTCCTTCCTACTATTATGCTTGTTCCCACTATTTGAGCCATCCCGGCCAAACACCTCTGATCCACCGCCCTTTCCTACAGTTTAATCATTTCTTTAACCAGCCTAATCTGACTAAAATCATCCGCAGAATCAGGCTGATCCTTCCTCAGCCCTTATATAGCAACGGACCCCCTCTCCACCCCCCTTCTTGCACTAACCTGCTGGCTTCTCCCCCTGATAATCCTTGCAAGCCAAAACCACACAGCGTCCGAACCTTCCTCCCGCCAACGAACTTACATTACCCTCCTTACATCCTTACAAATCTTTCTCATTATAGCCTTCAGCGCAACCGAAGTAATTATATTTTATATTATATTTGAAGCTACCCTCATTCCAACCCTTGTAATCATTACTCGTTGAGGGAATCAAACAGAACGACTAAATGCGGGCACTTATTTTTTATTCTATACACTAGCAGGTTCACTCCCTCTGCTTGTCGCCCTCCTACTGCTCCAAAACAGCACTGGCACCCTATCCCTTCTAACACTACAATATGTCCCCTCCTTGCAACTCTCTTCTTTCGCCGACAAGCTATGATGAGCCGGTTGCTTGCTCGCCTTCCTAGTAAAAATGCCCCTCTATGGGGCCCACCTCTGACTTCCCAAGGCACACGTTGAAGCCCCAATCGCTGGCTCCATAGTACTAGCCGCAGTCTTACTAAAACTAGGAGGCTACGGAATAATACGGATAATAATTATACTAGAACCCCTCACCAAAGAACTTAGCTACCCCTTCATTATCTTCGCTCTCTGAGGAGTAATTATAACTGGTTCAATCTGCCTCCGCCAAACAGACTTAAAGTCCCTAATTGCCTACTCCTCAGTAAGTCATATGGGGCTCGTAGCAGCAGGCATTCTAATCCAAACACCCTGAGGTTTCACAGGCGCTCTCATTCTAATAATCGCACACGGTCTAACTTCCTCCGCCCTCTTTTGCCTAGCTAACACAAACTACGAACGAACCCACAGCCGAACCATAGTATTAGCCCGAGGCCTCCAAATGGTTTTACCTTTAATAACCGCATGATGATTCATCGCCAGCCTTGCAAACCTTGCCCTCCCTCCTCTTCCAAACCTAATAGGAGAACTCATAATCATTACCTCCCTACTCCACTGATCCTGATGAACAATTGCACTCACAGGGGCTGGAACCCTAATCACCGCAGGCTACTCCCTGTACATATTTCTTATGACACAACGAGGACCCCTACCAGCACATATTATTTCCCTCGACCCAACACACTCCCGAGAACATCTTCTCCTAGCCCTTCATCTCCTACCCCTAATTCTTTTAATCTCCAAACCCGAACTAATTTGAGGGTGGACCGCCTGTAGATATAGTTTAATAAAAACATTAGATTGTGATTCTAAAGACAGAGGTTAAAACCCCCTTATTCACCGAGAGAGGTTGACAACAACAAAAACTGCTAATTTTTGCCTCTTAGGTTAAACTCCTGAGCTCACTCGCCCCGCTTCTAAAGGATAACAGCTCATCCGTTGGTCTTAGGAACCAAAAACTCTTGGTGCAAATCCAAGTAGCAGCTATGCACCTCACCTCCACCATAATAACCACTAGTCTAATTCTTATTTTTTTATTACTTGCATCCCCAATCCTTTCCTCCTTCTCCCCTGCCCCCCTCCCTCCCAACTGAGCACTAACCCAAGTTAAAACAGCAGTAAAATGAGCCTTCTTTACTAGCATCCTCCCTCTCTGCCTCTTCCTTAACGAGGGCGCAGAAACAATTATCACCAGCTGAACTTGAATAAACACCCACACCTTTGATGTTAATATTAGTCTTAAATTTGATATCTACTCAATTATCTTCACCCCCGTCGCCCTCTATGTCACCTGATCAATCTTAGAATTTGCCTCCTGATATATACATGCCGATCCGAACATGAATCGGTTTTTCAAATACCTCCTAATTTTCCTTATCGCCATGATTATTCTTGTTACCGCAAACAATATATTTCAGCTATTCATCGGTTGAGAAGGTGTCGGAATCATATCTTTTCTCCTCATCGGCTGATGATATGGCCGCGCAGATGCAAACACCGCTGCCCTCCAGGCAGTAGTCTACAACCGAGTAGGGGATATTGGACTAATCTTTGCTATAGCCTGAATTGCAACTTCCCTCAACTCCTGAGAAATACAACAAATATTTACTTTATCAAAAGACTTTGACCTAACTTACCCCCTCATTGGCCTCATCATTGCTGCCACTGGTAAGTCCGCTCAATTTGGCCTCCACCCCTGGCTTCCTTCTGCCATAGAAGGTCCTACACCGGTCTCTGCCCTACTGCACTCAAGCACCATAGTCGTAGCAGGCATCTTCCTCCTCATCCGCATAAGCCCGATACTAGAGAACAACCAAACTGCCCTAACCATTTGCCTTTGCTTAGGAGCCCTCACCACCCTCTTTACCGCAACCTGCGCCCTCACCCAAAATGATATCAAAAAAATCGTTGCTTTCTCAACCTCAAGTCAACTGGGTTTAATAATAGTAACAATTGGACTTAACCAGCCCCAACTTGCCTTCCTTCACATCTGTACCCACGCATTCTTTAAAGCTATGCTCTTCCTCTGCTCAGGGTCTATTATTCATAGCCTAAACGACGAGCAAGACATTCGGAAAATGGGAGGCATACATCACCTGACCCCTTTCACATCTTCCTGCTTAACCATCGGAAGCCTAGCTCTCACAGGAACCCCCTTCTTAGCAGGCTTCTTTTCAAAAGATGCTATTATTGAAGCCTTAAACACATCTTACCTAAACGCCTGGGCCCTCTTCCTCACCCTCCTAGCCACTTCCTTCACCGCTATCTACAGTTTTCGAGTAATTTTCTTCGTCTCAATAGGTCACCCCCGCTTCAATCCCCTCTCCCCAATTAATGAAAACAATTCAACAGTTATCAACCCTATCAAACGCCTAGCCTGAGGAAGTGTCATCGCCGGTCTCCTAATCACCTCCAACATCACTCCCCTAAAAACACCAGTTATATCCATACCTTTCCTTCTCAAAGCTGCCGCTCTAATAGTGACTATTACTGGCCTTCTCCTCGCATTAGAGCTCGCCTCATTAACCAATAAGCAGTACAAACCAATACCAAACCTTTCTCCCCACCATTTTTCTAACATGTTAGGTTTCTTCCCAATAATTATTCATCGCTTCATCCCCAAACTAAACCTGACCTTAGGACAAACCATCGCCTCCCAAACAGTCGACCAAACATGACTAGAAAAAATTGGTCCAAAAGCAACTGCTACCCTCAACCTTCCTCTAATCACAACAACCAACAACATTCAACAGGGTATGATCAAAACCTATCTTTCCCTCTTCTTCTTCACCTTCGCTTTAGCTCTTCTACTGCTACTTTATTAAACAGCCCGAAGAGCCCCCCGACTCAACCCCCGCGTTAACTCCAACACCACAAACAACGTTAACAGCAACACTCAAGCTCCCATCACCAAGATACCCCCACCCATCGAATACATCAAGGCTACCCCTCCAATATCCCCCCGAAAAACCGAAAACTCAACAAACTCATCAGCAGATACTCAAGCCCCCTCATACCACCCACCTCAAAATAACACCGCCGCCGCACCCACCCCTAAAACATACGCCACTATTACCCCTAAAACAGGCCAACTCCCTCAACCCTCAGGATAAGGCTCAGCAGCTAATGCTGCCGAATATGCAAACACTACTAATATTCCTCCCAAATAAATCAAAAATAAAATCAAAGATAAAAAAGACCCCCCATGCCCCACCAACACTCCACACCCCATACCTGCTACCGCAACCAGCCCTAATGCCGCAAAATACGGCGAAGGATTAGAAGCAACCGCCGCAAGACCTAGTACCAACCCTAATAAAAATATAAACATAATATAAACCATAGTTTCTGCCAGGACTTTAACCAGGACTAATGACTTGAAAAACCACCGTTGTTATTCAACTACAAAAACAATAATGGCCAACCTCCGAAAAACCCACCCCCTCCTAAAAATTGCAAACGACGCACTAGTTGATCTCCCAGCCCCTTCAAACATCTCTGTTTGATGAAACTTTGGCTCTCTATTAGGACTCTGTCTAGCTGCCCAAATCCTGACAGGCCTTTTCCTAGCCATACACTACACCTCCGATATTGCCACCGCCTTTTCCTCCGTAGCCCACATCTGCCGTGATGTTAACTACGGCTGACTCATCCGAAACATGCACGCTAACGGCGCATCCTTTTTCTTCATTTGTATTTACCTCCACATCGGCCGAGGCCTGTACTACGGCTCCTACCTCTATAAAGAAACCTGAAACGTTGGAGTAATTCTACTCCTTTTAACCATGATAACAGCTTTTGTAGGTTACGTCCTCCCATGAGGTCAAATATCGTTCTGAGGCGCCACTGTCATTACAAATCTTCTCTCCGCAGTCCCTTATATTGGCAATTCTTTAGTCCAATGAATCTGAGGAGGATTTTCCGTAGACAACGCCACCCTAACCCGCTTCTTCGCCTTCCACTTCCTCCTTCCCTTCATTATTGCAGCTGCAACAATAGTACACCTTATTTTCCTCCACGAAACCGGATCCAACAACCCCACAGGCCTAAACTCAGACGCCGACAAAATCTCTTTCCACCCTTACTTCTCTTACAAAGACTTATTAGGTTTCGCAATCCTTCTAATCGCCCTCATTTCTCTCGCCCTTTTCTCCCCCAACCTGCTAGGAGACCCCGACAATTTCACTCCCGCAAACCCTCTGGTCACCCCGCCTCATATTAAACCCGAATGATACTTCCTATTTGCCTATGCCATCCTCCGCTCAATTCCTAATAAACTTGGCGGAGTTCTCGCCCTCCTGTTCTCAATCCTTGTCTTGATAGTCGTTCCTATCCTACACACCTCCAAGCAACGAGGCTTAACATTCCGTCCTATCACACAATTCCTCTTCTGACTTCTAGTTGCAGACGTCGCCATCCTCACCTGAATTGGAGGTATACCCGTTGAACACCCATTCGTCATTATTGGACAAATTGCATCTTTCCTCTACTTCTTCCTCTTTCTCGTCCTCGCCCCTCTCACCGGCTGACTAGAAAACAAAATCCTTGAATGATCCTGCACTAGTAGCTCAGCGCCAGAGCGCCGGTCTTGTAAACCGGACGTCGAAGGTTAAAGTCCTTCCTACTGCTTCAAACAAAAGGGACTCTAACCCCTGCCCCTAACTCCCAAAGCTAGGATCCTAATTTAGACTATTGTTTGCCGGGCTCTGCCTTCGATGTAAACGTAATGCATATATGTATTATCACCATTATTTTATGTTAAACATATCCTATATATTAATACATATCATTTATAAGAATATAGACAAATATACCACATATTTGTCAACAACATTTTAACTAAGGGGTACATAAACCATAACTGAATATTTTCCAATAATTATTAATTATCCACTGAACGATAGTTTAAGACCGATCACACCTCTCACTAGTTAAGTTATACCAAGTACCCACCATCCTATTTACTTCCCATATTTAATGTAGTAAGAGCCCACCATCAGTTGATTCCTTAATGTTAACGGTTCTTGAAGGTCAAGGACAAGTATTCGTGGGGGTTTCACTAAATGAATTATTCCTGGCATCTGGTTCCTATTTCAGGTCCAATAATTGTTATAATCCCCCATACTTTCATCGACGCTTGCATAAGTTAATGGTGGTAATACATACTCCTCGTTACCCACCATGCCGGGCGTTCTTTCCAGCGTGTGGGGGGTTCCTTTTTTTTTTTTCCTTTCATTTGACATCTCAGAGTGCATACAGAAATGACAGACAAGGTTGAACATTTTCCTCGCTTATAAGAAATAGTATGAATGGTGATAAGATATTAATAGAAGAATTGCATAACTGATATCAAGAGCATAAAGTTTAATCAGATATTTAATTTTCCCCAGACTTTCCTATTATCACCCCCGGTTTCTGCGCGTAAACCCCCCCTACCCCCCCAAACTCCTGAGATCTCTAAGACTCCTGCAAACCCCCCGGAAACAGGAAAAGCTCTAGAAGTGTTTTTCGCACTTGTAATGTACAGACATGTTTGTTATTCATATATTGTTGGTGTGTATATTATACTATTGCAATATTGCACAT